GATCCGCCAGTTAAAAAGAAGAGTATCACATTTCTTGATCAAGTCGGTTTCTTCCCGTGTCGACACTGTTATGCATGCAGAGAAACAAAGGGTAAAAATGGCTAATTATGATGGAACGGTATACAAGATTAAGGATTTCATTTCATGCCACACAGAGGGAGTAGTATATGGCCTCGAATGTGAATGTGGTTATCAATATATAGGAAGAACAAAAAGGCCCTTGTGGAAACGCATGAGGGAACATGTGCAAAATATAAAAAAGGGGTTCCCTAAACATAGCGTTTCCCGGCACTTCCTTAAATAGCATAATAAAGACCCTTCAGGCCTGAAGTTTTGGGGTATACAGAAGTACGTAAGTCATTGGAGGGGGAGTAATAAAATTAAATCCCTGAGTCAAGCAGAATCCAGATGGATGTATATTATGCATACGCAGGCACCGTATGGTCTTAATATCGAGTTTGACCTCAATTGTTTTATTAGTGACTTTTAAAGTTTAAACTTTTTAAATAATTGTCGGCTCATCTGGTAACATAATTTTAGAATATGTAATATATATGGATTTTATTAATATAAGCTTGGTTAAAGTGATATTTGATGAGATATAAAGTTATTATTTGTAAACCCAAGCTATGGCTATTTGTGCATGTCACATTTAAATTTTATAACATACCATTCAAAAGATAAAATATTTTTTAAATAAATATTTAATGTATTTTATGATTATTTATTTAAATCATTTTTGTCGCTGTGTAGATAATACTCCTTTACCCCAGGGTTTTCTTTTCTTCTTTTTTTTTTTTTTATTATTTTATTTTGTTTATTTTCAATTTTAAATTTTTTTTATATATATTTATTTTTATTATTTTTTATTTATTATATATATATTTTTTGGATATATATATCCTCCTAATATGCTAGTCTTTATTAAGATTTATTAAATAAAAATATTTTTTTATATTTCAATATTAATTTATACTAAAGTCTCAGGAGTCATATTAGTGTATTAATAAAGTTGTAAACTTGGTTTTTAAATGTTGGAGGATTTTAATTTAGTATATGTATGAATGTATAAATTATTTAAGGAAGGATATTGTAGGAGGAACTTTTTATTTCGGCACTAGTGTTCACCTATGGGGCAGGATAATATAGTCCTTATGTATGTGAGTGCTGGACTTCAACAAGATGTCTGCCATAAGTCCGCCCTCACTATAGAATTCAATGAGGCTTTTTCCTTATAAATACAATTGAGTCACCGGGGGGCGGTAACCCTGATGAAGTCACGACGCACTGGAACCCAGTGCATGCAGATTTACCCATAGGTTGTGATAAAAAATGCCTGTGAACCAAGAGGATAATGTGAATGTAACAATTTATGGTGTTTTACCCTTTCCAAATAAATATACTACACTATGGAAAGTTTTATGTATTTCTATGAGTCTGGAGTGGAGAATTAAGAGAGGAGAAGGAATAAGGAGTCTGCCAGAGGAGATTCTCGTCTGCTGTCCTGTACTGTTTTGTCCTGTTGTTGTTGACCCGGCCTGTCTGACTACTCTTTTGTCTCTTCCACCAGCTACACGCCATTGGCGGCAGCCATTACCGCAGCTGAGGTGTCTCGGGGGCCGCGACCTGGTTCCTGGCTGCGTCAAGTCCATCCCCACCATCAGGGGCCCTGGTGAAGGGCAGCCTGGGACTTAGACTCCGCACCCTGAGGGACTTCGGTCTGTGGGTGGTGGTTGTCGTCAGCCAGTGCGTTACATTGTTAGGCCTGCCTGTCCGTTCCTCGGCCCCTGCCCTGACAATATACCACTGAGATGGAAACAGCTTTGGGGCCCTGTGTGGGTCAAGGAGGGGAGGTGAGCAGGCATTGCTGCCATTTGGAGGATTTAATTTGCACCTAGAAGTGGAGATCACGTGTGTTTTTCAAAAAAAGCACAGAGTCACATGCATGGACATTTTTCTTTTTTCACTTATGATGTATATAAAATGTGTGTGAATTAGACACTATTTTATGTGGATAATTGATATACTCTATAATTTTTTATTCACTAATTTATTCACATTTTTGTTGTATATTGGAATTTCTAATGATATGCACGGTATAATAGGTTTCTTCACAGTGTGTGTTGAACCACTAAAAGCATAATTATATTTGGTTGCACTATTTTTTTCTCCCATTAGAGGGAGGTATTAGTGTGTAATATATAGATTTGTCACAAAAGAATATGAAATTTATACTATTTTTTTTGAATGCACTTTAATTTTCTTTATTTATGTGATATAAGCGCTTCACTATTTTTTTCCTTTTGTTTGGACTTGTTGTTGTAAGTTGAGTGGCAGCAGCTGTGTAATAGTGATCAGTCCGTTGAGCGCAGGAGGATTTTTTACATTTTTTTCCTCATAGCTGATCTCCTCCATGCCTCTTATCAGTTTGGTTGCCCTTCTCTGTACTTTCTCCAGTTCCCCAATGTTCTTTTTGTGAATTGGTGCCCAAAACTGAACTGCATATTCCAGATGAGGTATAACTAACGATTTGTACTGGGGGGGGGGATGATATCTCTCTGTCTGGAGTCTATACCTCTCCTAATACAAGAGAGGATTTTGCTCGCTTTATAACCCGCAGCTTGGCATTGCATGTCATTATTAAGCTTGTGATCTCCCAGAACCCCCAGATCCTTCTCCACCATTGACCCCCCCAGATCCATTTTCCACCATTGACCCCCCCCCCCATCCTTCTCCACCATTGAACCCCCCCAGATCCTTCTCCACCATTGACCCCCCCAGGTTCTTTTCCACCATTGACCCCCCCGATCCTTCTCCACCATTGACCCCCCCAGATCCTTCACCACTGACCCCCCCAGATCCCCCCAGACCTTCTCCACCATTGACCCCCCAGATCCTTCTCCACCACTGACCCTCCCAGATCCTTCTCCACCACTGACCCCCCCAGATCCTTCTCCACCACTGACCCTCTAGATCCACCATTGACCCCACCAGATCCTTCTCCACCACTGACCCCCCCCAGATCCTTCTCCACCATTGACCCCCCCAGATTCTTCTCTACCATTGATTCCCCCAGTTGCGCCTTGCTGCTGTCAAAGGACTGGGTTAGTCCAAAACACTAGAAGCAAAGAACACAAACAGAGGGCGCACCGGCCTAGTGCATTACATAATGACATTTACTGATAAAAGTAACAGATGGTGAATATATATATATATATATATATATATATACACACACACACACAGTATAGTTATAGTATATTGTTGTTTAGAATGCATTCACACCTAAGCAATGCATGACTGAGGAACATGCAGATTATCGAGGCTAATACTTACCAGCCAACTAATAAAACAACCACCCCTCAATCTTCCCCCACCTGAAATAACCACACGACTCTCCTTCTTTGGTGTCAAAACGGCCATAGCAGCCCATTTATTTAACATAACTATTACATAACAATGCATCAAGTACAATCAATGTATTAATTGACATTAATAATCCCAACCGGGTCCAAGGTCTTCGAAGGCACTGCTAATCACATCAAAATAACTTGGCTGTACCTGAAACCCATTGAGAAGGCCCCCCAGCCACTACTACACCGCCTCAGGGACAATGCTACAGCTACATAGTACCAAGTACAGTCCATTAACTACAACCTCACCAATGTAACCTCATAATTGGGAATGGACACCCATACCTACGATGGGTCCAACCCATAATCCTCAAAAATATCACTCCTTCAAAGACCCAGCGACCCCTGCCAGCTGCCATGACAAAAAGCTCAAGACAAGGACCCCAAGACACAAAATGCAAAGAAAAAAAAATAAAAATAAAAAAGAACCCCAAAAAAAAAACAAAACGGCAAAACAAACACGAAGGACAGAACCAGGAACTTGAAACAAAAACGAAAATGGGTCCAGGGCGGGCGGGAGAAACCTCACCAGTGCTGGCACAAGCTCCGACCGAGCCTCGACAAGTCCCAACCCCTCTCCTCATCCTGGAAAGACCTCCCTCTTCACTCAAAAATGCCAATCAGGTGAGCCACCACCCATACCAAATGCCTATACTCAGGGGCGGACTGACCATTTGAGCACTTGTGCACTGCCCGAGGGCACGAGTCAGTAGGGGGCCCCATGAAATGCCCCTGGTACCTTTTTTATAGGCTTTTTTTAGTGTGGGCAAGGACACAGGGGCCCCTATTGCCTGGGGGCCCCATGAGTTGTCAGTCCGCCCCTGCCTATACTCCCACCCTATTAGAATCTCCGCCTCATCTGCAAGCCCCATTCATGCTGGCCCTCCCCTTAGTTTTGCTCAGTTCCAGGCCATCTGCTGAATTGTTAGCACAATTCTTGCCGCAGTTCCAAATTGTGCTAAAATTGTGTTAAAATACGCAGTGCACCTTTGGGTGCCATTCATTGTTAATGGCACCCCAAATGCACTTAGCAGACATGCATTTTGCTGCACATTTTGTCATTTGACAAATACGCTATCAACGCACCAAAAAATGCGCCTTGAAGAAACACACAACACCCCATGCCCACAAAAGGTTTCCTTTTCGCTTTTTGGGGCCTTTTTAATGCACATTTTGGTGCAGTTTTTAACAAACATTTGGCTGCTTTTTTGAAAAAATGTGAGTTAAAATTTTTATGTGCATTTTGGTGCTTTTTTAACAAGTATTGTGGCTAATTTTTTAATTGCGTTTTTGTGCGTGTTCTGGAAAATGCATGTCATGTTTGCGGTGCCATTATTTGTTCATGGCACCCAAAAGTGGCCAGCAGATGTGCCGTTTGCCAAAATATGCATAAAAACCAAATGAAAATTCACTTTAACCTCTTCACGCCGGCCGAACGCAAATGTGCGGCTTCCCGGCATCTGGGCCTAGACACCAAGCGACCGCACATTTGCGTTCTATTATAAAAGGACATATGTGCCGAGAGCGCGCTCCCTGCACACACGTTCGGTACTCACGGAAAGATCCCGATCTCCTCTTTCGATCGGGACCTTTCCCAATCATGTGACTGCCATGACGGCATGCCACGATGGTCACATGACCCTAAACCTCGCCCCGTTTTCTGAAACCCTTAACCACCTGTCAGTGCTGAACAGTGCCACGTGCCAGTGCCCATCAGTGCCACATCAATGCCACATATCAGTGCCCATCTGAGATGCCTTTCAGTGTCACCCATCAGTGCCAGTCAGTGCCACCTATCAATGCCAATCAGTGCCACCTATCAGTGCTGCCAATCAGTGCCACCTATCAGTGCCAGTCAGTGCCGCCTATCAGTGCCAGTCAGTGCCGCCTATCAGTGTGCATCAGTGCCACCTATCAGTGCCCGTCAGTGCTGCCTATCAGTGCCAGTCAGTGCTGCCTATCAGTGCCAGTCAGTGCCGCCTAACAGTGCCAGTCAGTGCCGCCTATCAGTGCCATATATCAGTGCCATATATCAGTGCTGCCTTTCAGTGCCCATCAGTGATACCTGTCAATGCCCATCAGTGCCACCTACCAGTGCCTCCTCATCAGTGCCCATCAGTGCCACCTATCAGTGCCCATCACTGCAGCCTCATTAGCGCACATCAGTGAAGGAGAAAAATCACTTATTTACAAAATTTTATAACAAAAACTAAGAAAAAATGTTTATTTTTTCAAAATTTTCAGCGGTTTTTGGTTTGTTTAAGAAAGAATAAAAAACCCCGAAGTGATTAAATACCAAAAGAGTCACATGACTCTAAACTCTGCCCCACCTCCCGGCTTCTGAAACTCTTAAAGGGCCGGGAGGCACCGGCGTGAAGGGGTTAAAAAAGTGCCAAAATATGTGGTATGAAAAGTGGCAAAATGTGCGTTACAAACCACACCAAAGTGCATGTTTAAATAGCCTGTGCCAAAATGTGTGTGTAAAAGCTCATCAATATGTGTTTAGAAAAAATGCTAAAATGCTCATTAAAAAGACCCACGGCATTAAAAAAATACAACATGTTAAAAAGCAGCAAAATGCATGTAAATAATGCTAAAATGTACAGTAAAAAGGAGCCAAAATACACATTTAGGGCTGGTTCACGCAATAGAAACACAGTCCAGATGCGTGTTTTTGACGTGTTCTGGTGCATTTTTTATGTGTTTTTTTATGCCTTTTTGATGCATTCCAGTGTGTTTTTTATGTACTACAGTTCATTTTTCCCTCTCTCTTTTTCTTCAATTTAACCCATTGGCGCCAACTCATCCCGGCCCTTTAAGAGTTTCAGAAGTCGAGAGGCGGGGCTGGGTTTTAAGGTCATGTGACCACCATGATTCGCCATCACGGCAGTCACATGATCGGGAAAAAGGTCCCGATCGAAAGAGGAGATCGGGACCTTTCCGTGAGTAGCGGACATGTGTGCTGGGAGCGGGCAGGGCGCCTGCTCTCAGCACATATGTTTTTCTTAATTGCACGCAAATGTGCGGCCGCTTGGCGTCAAGGCCCAGACTCCGGGAGGCTGCACATTTGCGTGTGTCCGGCACAAAGAGATTAAATAGGGACATGTGCATTCCAGTGTGTTTTTGGTGTGTTCCAGTGTATTCTGGTGCATTTGGTATGCGTTTTACCGCGTTCCAGTACAGTTCTGTGCAGAAAACTGCAGCCTGTCCTACTTTTTTTTTTCTGCATCCGGAACGCACTGGAACTGCAAGCGCTGATGTGAACTTTGACATTGACCACCATATCACCTACTTTCTGTGCGTTTTGGATGCAGAAAAAAAGCAACTGAAACACATGTATGTGCCAAAATGTAGCAGTGGTCAGTGCTTATTATTTTCATGTCATTGCGTGGTCTTTGTAACTTTGGTTTCACTATTTAGACTCGGGTGATCTGTAATCACACAATTATCTCAGATCACATGCAGCCCCTTCGTCTTCTACACTGATTTCTCCTCTCTTCTCCTTCTGAGAACACATGTACTCTACTTCATAATCAGGGGGACAGAGGAGACGACTTTTCCCTGAGAACTGAAATGAGATAAATTATCTCTGCTTAATAAACGTACACCGTAATAGGAGAGCAGAGGGACTGGCAGGATCTCCGGGGATTTCACACAAAGGAAGCCATACAAAGAGAACTTGAGACTTTTCCATAAAAGTACATAGGTGTCCATTTATGAACCAGCGGTAATAGATCGCTGCTCAGTTCTCTGGCATTCTCGGAGAACACAGTTCTCCTGTGAATGCAGTTTATGAAGCAGTTCTCCGAACGAAGGGAGAACGATCTCCAAATGCTGGAGAATGGTCTACAAACTCTGGAAAAAACGGCTGATTTTACTATAATCTCGCGAGATTACAGTAAAAGATCAGTTTACTAAGCAGAGGTAAATTATCTCTGCTTAGTTTGTGGTCCCTCTGATTCTCCAGCTCTGGACTGGAGAATCTGGAGGGAGAACACAGATCTCCAGAGAAGGGCTGACATGATCTCCCGAGTGTCATAAACTGTGAATGATCAGAGAATAGCTGAGATCCGTTGAATCGCAGCTATTCTCTGTGTCATAAACGGACACCATAGTACAGCCAGCACCTATCAATGGAACACAGCCTAGTTCACTCATTTAAGACAATTAAATGATTAAAGAAAAGGAAAAGCAGAAGGAAAGAAGAGTAATGCCGGCCATAGACAGGTCGAAAATCGACCGATTTTCACACCATTAGTGGGTTAATTGGTTGGCCATTTTTCAGAGTTTTGGCACATTTTTTTTATTGGTCATGTTGGAAAATTTGTGGCTGATTTTGACGATCGGCCGATTTTCCTGGCAATGATGGGCAAATTGGCGGATCATTTTACTGATAAAAAAATCTGCACATGAGCCGTGACCTGCAAGAAGAAGAAAGAAGAAAGAAGAAGAAAAAGAAGAATAAAAAAAAAGAAAGAAAGAAGAAGAAGAAAAAAGAAAAGAAAAAGAAAATGAAGAAGAAGAAGAAAAATAAGAAGAAGAATTCCAGTCCGCTATTATATTTTATATGAAAAGTCTTGGGGTTGTAACAATGCATCCATTTGTATCCGAATAAAAACATATGCATCCAAAATGGATACAAAATGGATACATTGTTGCAACTGCAAGATTTTTCATGCAGAATATAATAGCGGAGCTCTCTGCAAGGGACAGAAGTAATTATGGGGTTAAATGCCAGCCGTAGACGAGACAAAAATCGGCCTATTTCTTTACCATTGGTGGTAACGTCGGCCAATTGAACGACCGATTTTTCATTTTTTTTTTTTTTTTAAAACGGCAAGTTTTTGACCCGTCTATGGCCTGCTTTAAGAACCAGGGGGTTGGTTGGGTATTGTGGCCAAAGGACAGGCCGCATAAGCCATCATTGGGAAAGTCAAAGTACGCAGTCAAGGTTCCAGTAACGACTGGTCAAAATGTTGTGGTAAACAGTGGTCCACCCATGGCTGCCAAACCTTTAGGTGTTTCGGGATATGATCTAGTATTGTGCCCTCAATTAGAATGGAATTACTTTTTCAAACAGAAACCACATTTACCGTTAGAAATATGTTTACGTATAAACAAGTATCCCTCCAGCTACTTCAAATCTCCTCCTCTTTTACATTTCTACATATTGTATAGTAAAATGGGCCTTTGGAACACTTTTTCACCCATCCCTGTCTGCCCCTATAACCACTTCTCTTTCAACCTCTTTGTACCATGTGAAATTATTATATTTTTTTTCTAACAAACCTTACATATAGTTACATATAGTTAGTCTGGCTGAAAAAGGACAAAAGTCCATCCAGTTCAACCATAGTTGCATAACAAGTTATTATTACTGTTTATAAACAAATAGTTTTTGTTCAATAACGTGTAAGTAATGAATGGAAAAGAAAAAAGAGTCTACATTTTATGAAGATTTAAGATATTGGCTATTTAAGGTTTTTTGTTTCCAAGTAGACATGCCTGAGTGTTCAAGCTGGGCTTAAATAGAATTAGAAAAACATTTGGGGAGAAATATGCAACCTAGAAGTCCAGCACTTGAGGCCAATATAGCGAATATCTCCACAGCCACCATGTATTTCCCTCTGGTGCTCAGATAGGCCGGGATCATGGTAATCCAGACACTGCAGAACACCAGCATGCTGAAGGTGATGTATTTGGCCTCATTAAAACTGTCCGGTAATGTCCTCACCATGAAAGCCAGAAGAAAACTCACAGCTGCCAGAAACCCCATATAACCCAACACAGAGTAGAACCCGATAACACACCCTTCATTACACTGAATGACGATCTTGTCCTGATAAGAGTGAGTGTCCATTTCCTGAAAAGGATGAGATACAGACATCCAAATGAGACATATTATTACTTGAATGGATGAACACACGGACACTATGGAATTGGCCAGTGTGGCTCCAAGCCATTTCCTCCAGTAGCTGCCAGGTTTGGTGGCTCTGAAAGCGATGTAAACAATGATTGTTTTAGCCAGAAGAGAGGAGATGGCTATGGAGAAGATGACTCCAAATGTCATGACACGGAGTATACAGGTTATATCCAGTGGCTGGCCAAGGAACAAGAACACACAGAGGAAGCTCAACAAGATGGAGACAAGGAGAACAAAACTCAAGTTTCTATTGTTGGCTTTAACGATGGGAGTGTTCAGATAATATATAAATATCCCCACACTAAGAAGTCACAATGCAGAGTGAGACGGAAATGAATATAAATATTATAGAGATATCATCTGTGTAAGAAAGAAATTCCAGACGTTTTGGAATACACCGATCCTTCTTCTCGTTGGGCCATTCTTCTTCTGTGCATTTCATGCAGCTCTTACTGTCTGCCAAAGAGCAACAAATATTATTGTTTTTTTTTTTAAATAATTAAACTGTAGTTTTAAGGAGGCAAATACTTCTTCCATTGTGAATCAGTGCAAATTTGATTTTGACATATACAGTGAAGGAAATGCGTATTTGCTCCCCTGCTGATTTTGAATGTTTGCCCACTGACAAAGAAATGATCGGTCTAAAAATCGAATGTTCGGTGTATTGTAACACTGAGAGACAGAATACAACAACAAATTCAGCAGAAATGCGTCTAACAAATGATGACTGATCTGCATGTTCATGAGGGAAAGAAGGATTTGATCCCCTATCATTCAGCAGGATTTTTCTGGCTCCCAGGTGTCTTTCATACAGGTAACAAGCTGAGATTAGAAGCAGTCTCTTAAAGGGAGTGCTGCTAATCTCACTGTGTTACCTGTATAAAAGACACCTGTCCACAGGAGCAATCAAACCATCAGATTCCAAACTCTCCACCATGGCAAAGACCAAAGAGCTGTCCAAGGATGTCAGGGACAAGATTGTAGACCTACACAAG